ATACATATACATATACATATACATATACATATACATATACATATACAAGTAGATGTTTAACAATTAAGAAACCAGAACCTGTCTTTGAGGGGAAAAAATGTTAATATTTGACCTGCTGCAGATATCTGAAATGTCTACAATTAAGGTACTGATTAGAAGTGTTTATAGTTCTCAGAGACACACTGCAGGGGAAAGTACCCAGATCCTTTATTTTGCCTTTTTTACAATTTCTTTTATAAAAATAAGCACTAAACTGGGATTCAGCTCCTCTTTGTTTATTTTAATTTTTTCTCTTAATCTTTTCTCTCTGTGGGACACATGGAGCCACCACAAATGATTCTCCTCTCCATCCCATTCCCAGCTTTTAATTTCTTGTGCTGTAAACACTTGGTATTCTCTTCTAACATCTGTATCATAGAAATTACCAATTGTAGTGACATACTATAATAACAACAGCCGGTGTTTTATAATTCTTTAAGGTTTGCAAAGTGCTTATAACTACCTTATGAGGTAGGCATTATGGTTGTCCCCATTTTATAGATAAGGAAATTGAAGCTGATGGAGTTCAATGACTTGTCCAGGGTCACACATCTGGTATCTGAGGTAGGATTTGAACTCAGTTCTTCCTGACTTCAAGTCCAGCATTTTAGTCATTGTGCCACTTAGCTATCTCATTCTAAAGTGCCTCAGTGTAGCACAAATTCAATTATCTCACATTTTGCTGAAGAAGAAAGCGAGACTCAGAAAGGTACCCAAGATAACAATGGAAAATTAGGGGCAGAACCCTAGACCAGGACCTGCCTTTGACTCCCCGTTGGGTGTTCTTTCCCCTGTATTACCTTGTCTCAGTTCCAAAGGGATTTTTATTACAGTTTAGAATGTATCATACAGCATTAATAACACATTCATATTTTTTTCATTTTGTACATACTAAATAATACCATGGGAACCCTAAGATTTATTTTCTATTAGACTCTGGACCTAAATATACCATAGCATTATCAACATGAAGACAGGAACAATTAGGGAGATACTTGTATATGTCCAAATCACTCTTGCCTGGTTGATAAATTCATGGGGCTGATAATAGGTGACAGCCAGTTGGTAAACACAAAGGACTATTGTTTCTGTCTTCTCCACAACTGAAGATAATTTTTACCTTCGAGGAACACAAATAAAATCTATGGCAATGATTTAATCCTTGAGATTATTTGGAAAGAAAGGGATGTTTCTTCCTTGAAAATGTCCCTTAATAGACACATTAAAAATGGCTTTTGGGTTATTTTAAGTCAGTTCTTAGAAACAGGGTTATCTTCCCATGCTTTAACTGTCTCAGGTGGAAAGAATTTTTTTCACTCCTGCTAAATAGGATTTCTAAATGGGGCCAGGGTGTTTACCACCATTGGCACATTCTTGCAAGGGCTGTATGGTAGTTTTCATTAATCCATTCATTCTCAGCCAAACTGAGACCTGTTAAAGACCTTAGCTTGAAAAGGCCAAGGTCCCCCACTGCATCCTGGGCCATCTCCAGTTGTCCTGATCCATTATCTGGCCACTGGACCCAGATGGCTCCGGAGAAGAAAGTGAGTCTGGTGACTTTGCACAGCCCTCCTTCTCTTAAATCCAATTCACTTGCACGTCATGGCATCACCTCCCTGATGTCGTGGTCCTCTGAGAATGAAGGACAAACAACAACATTCAACAAAGACCAATTGAGGAAAGGGCACTGTGCTAGCCATTGAGGGAGGTAAAAGATAAATAAGATAAAGAATTTACTTGAAAGTAGCTTGTAATTTAGTGGGAAGGCACACACAGGTTAAATACAATGCCAATTGTATTATGTATGTATGCCAATGTTAAATTGTGGGAAGTGCATAGGAACAGTACAAAGAGCTGTGAGATCAGATGAGAAGAAAATCATTTCCAGCTGGGAAAACATAAATAAATATCCCTCTGGATTTTTTCACCTTCTAAAGTTGTTGAAAGGAGGGAGCTGGGAACGAGATGCTGTTATAATCAGTCTTATCACTTCTGCATCACCGCTGCTGCCCCACATGCACCACTCTGGTGGTGGGGTTCTCACCCCATCTTCCCACTCCTGGCAGCACACACATCTAAGTCATATGTTGGAGGACGGGGAGGGGAAAGAGAAAAGAACTAAGTATTCAAGGGGGTAATTGTGGAAACACTGACCTTCATCTTCCCTGATTGCCTGCTTGACATTTTGGGAAGGGTAGCAAGGGATATAAAGCTGCTGTCAGCAACTTATACGGATGTAGCTTGCTCAGTTTCTGATCCATAGGCAGCTGGGTGGAATAGATGATAGAATACTAGACTTGGAATTAAGAAGACCTAGGTTCAAATCCTGCCTCAGAAATTTACTAGTTGTGTGACCCCAAAGCACATCACTTAATCTCTCTCAGACTTGGTTTCTTCATCTGTAAAATGTGGATAATAATAGCACCTACTTCACAGGGCAGTGAAGAGAATCAAATGAGATAACATAGATAAAGTGCTCTCCTAACTTTAAAGCACTGTATAAATGCTAGCTGTTTTTTTTTTGTTTTGAGCCTGTAATAATATAGGACAAACAAACATAATGTATCTTTCTCTTTGTGTTTTTAAAGTACTTTACAGTTTAAGAAGTGGCAGGGCAGAATAGCAGCAGGAGCACTTGATTTGATGTCTAACAGAGCCCTCTCTGACATCTTCTAGATGTGTGATCCTGGGCAAGACAATGAACCTCTATGAGTTTCAGTTCTCCTATCAGTAAAATGGGGATAATAATAATACCTGTAGGACTCATCTCACAAGGTTACTATGAGAATCATGTAAGATCATGCATATGAAATACTATATAAATGTCATTTATGAATGACTGGAGCAATCCAAAAGTTATATGGGTTGCCTTTGAGAGGTTGTGGGTTCTTCCTCCTTGGGGAACTTTCAAGAGAGGTTTCATGAACTCTCATCTCATATGTTGTAGAGATGATTCTTTGTCACATATTCAGTTGCTCAAATCCCTTCAACTCTGAAATTGGATGCTTCTGTGACTATTCTATCAGTCTCTCCCTCATATTAGAGCTCCTAGAATTATAATAATATCAACACTGCTAGTGCTGCTAGGTTTTAGCCTACTCCCCTATGACTCCACTGACCTTCTTTGTGACTTTGGAAACCAAAAATCCTTCCCTGGCCACTATTTCCCCAAATGAGACTATTAGGATGTACATTTCTTGAGGACAAGTTTGTTCAGTCATTTCAGTCATGTCCAACTCTTTGTGACCCCATTTGGAATGTTCTTGGAAAGACACCAGAGTGGTTTGTCATTTTCTTCTCCAACCCATTTTTACAAATGAGAAAATTGAGGCAGAGTGAAGTGACTTGCCCATCTATCTGAAACTAGATTTGAATTCAAGTCTTCCTGACTCCAGTGCTCTACCCACTGAGCCACCTAGTTGCCCTGAAGACAAGTACTAACTCTTGTATTTGTAACCCCAGGACTTAGCACAGTATTTGGCACGTAGTGAACTCTTTTATTTTTTTTCACTCATTTATTTGATCTTTTCAACTGTGTGATGTAAACAAGGAAGATTTTATTAGATTGTAAGAAGTCTGAGGACAGGAATTGTGTCATATTCCATTTTGTGTACAAAGCACCGAGCTCTGAGCCTTGCCCATAGCAGACATCTATTGAATTGCTGTTATTGGACCACCATTCTATAGAAGAAGAAACAAACTCAGAGAATGCAATTGACTTAACGTCGAAAGGTTACTATGATAATCAAGTGAAATCACGTCTACAAATGGCATTTATTAATGACTAGAGCTATTCAAATGAAGGAAGTGGTGAACCTGTGACTTGAAACCAAAGACCAGTGGTTGTTTCACTTCTTAGAGCTTCATAACTTTTTTGGTTAAGTTTTGGACCCCTTTGACAGTCGGGTGAAGACTATGAATCTCTTCTCAGTGACTCAATAAACATAAATAAACATTTATTAAGAACCCACTATATGCTAGGTACTGTGCTAAGATCTGAGGATACAAAGAAAGGCAAAAGACAGCTACTGGAGCTCACAGTCTAATGGGGGAGATGATGTATAAACAACTCTGTACAAAAATCTACATACAGGATAATTAAGAGGCAATCAACATGAGGAAGGCACCAAATTAAGGGGAATTGGGAAAGGCTTCCTGTGAAAAGTATATTTTCGTAGGGACTTGAAAGAATCCAAGGAAATGATAAGGCAGAGATAAGGAGGGAGAGCATTCTAGGCATGGGGGACAATCAGTGAAAATGCTTGGAGTTGGGTGGCAGACTGAACAACCACAATGAGGCCAGTGTCACTGGATTGCATAGTATGTTGGGGAGTGCAGTAAGGTATGAGAAGACTGGACAGTTTGAGGGGGGAGCAGATTACAAAGGGCTCTGAACATCCAACAGGGATTACATATTTGATGCTGGAAGTGATAGGGAGCTACTGGAGTTTATTGATTGGGCATGTGGGGGGTGTATGGCATGGGTTGATCTGTGCTTTAGGAAGTTCACTTTGACAGCTGAAAATAATGGTTTTTAAAGCATGAAATAAATACATAGGCTTACCAAAGAAAACAATTTTATTCAAATGAAGTTATCTCACATACACACACACACACGTATATATATATACACATATTTAAGAGAGGCCTCAGGTTATAAATCTCTGCATTACACATTTCTGCCTCTCATATGTGCTGATTGACATTGACTACAGTATGTTTTGTTGTTAGGCATTAGAATGTTGGATGGCATTGTGACTGATGCTATTGAAGCCAGTTCAATTGGATTCAATCCCAACCATGTGGATATTTACAGTGCAAGCTGGGGCCCAAATGATGATGGAAAAACAGTGGAAGGCCCTGGCAGGTTAGCCCAGAAGGCTTTTGAATATGGCATCAAACAGGTGAGATACTTAAAAGTAATTCAACTGAGATGAAATATGATGGTATGCAAAGAACATGTGAAAACATTCTGTTTCTACAGATAGAAGAGGGAGGCCTTTTCTGGCTTTCCAAAAGTCCTTTGCCATTTCAAATGTATTTTCAAAGCCAAATTATTCTTCGGGGGGATGGAAGTAATAGGGTTAAGTGAGCTTTACTAGCCTGGCCCTGACTTTCATACTTTGCATATGTTCCAGGGTATCCAACAAAAACTTGCATGCTCATATCTACTACACAACCCTTTTTTTTCATCTAATACAATCTAGGCAGTGAAATTATGATCTCAACTCAAAAACACTGGCTTAATTCATATACATACAGGTGTGTATATATATGCTTATTCTTACTCATGTAATATATCAAGGATCTGGGATTTCTTTCACTGACTCCAAATAAAGATGTGAAACGCATTGCTCACCTATAGTGTTAGAGTTTCCTGAGGCTTAGAGAGGTGGTGGCTTACTCACAGTTCCTCAGCCAGCAGTAAGTGTCATAGGCAGAAGTTAAACCTGGGTCTTTATCCATTCTGCTCTGTTGCATATTCCTATAATACATAGGTATAACAGGATGCTGGAGATGAATTCCTCCTAGTGGGCAGGAATCCCCAGCTCTCCCCTCCCTAATCCCCCAGTGAGCTGTCCAGATCCTGTTATATATGGAAAAAATAAGCTTTTGAAAACATACATTGAATGCAATATATTGAATATGATCTCTAATTCTGATCAAACATTTCCTTTTTATTTAATAAAAAAAGATCCTGCTCCTCCAGACATTTCTCACTTTATTTTATCAGATATTTTTGGGTTACTACATTCACCAAGTGGTGAATTCCTCTATGCATTCATTCAATTTATCAGGCATCTGCCACATGTAAGGTACTAGCCACTGACCAAGGTGAGGGCGGGTTGGGAGAGGCATGCTATTTTTAACTATGTAGTCACTTTTTAAAAGCCCTTATGCTCAGTTTGCATCTGATCATTTGTATTTATTACAATATCTCTCAAGCATATACCAGACCCACAGACTTCATGTTGTAAAATTAAAAGGGAGATATTTGGGACACAAGCTGAGAAAGAATGGCATTGTCAAATATAGCCCTAGCAAGAAGCCACTTTTAATCCAGCTGGAATGCATCACTGAATAATGGTTGATTTAGTCTTTGCTGACTGACTGATAGAATAAGAGATTTGAGCTGAAGAAAGGCAGAGGAAGTTTAGTGATCCAAATATATCACAACAAGCATCACAAAGTGTGGGAAAAAAATAGGAGAGAGCATGGAAGGTGAGGTCTTCCGTCTACCTACGTAAAGAAATAAAGCCAAGATTGCTACACAACACCAAAAGGAGGGACAGAGAAGACAGAAATATCTGGCTTTAGGGAAAGGTTACAGTATTATGTGTATTATATATGAGAAAAGAGTAAGTGACAAGAGGTTTTCATATCATTTCAGAAGGTTTTGACCTGAGGGACAGATATCAATTGTGTACATTTTGAATTTTCTGTTTAGATGGTGAGGTTTTGAATAGTTTCTAAGAGATTAGATATGACCTAAACCCACATTTCTGCCATTGCCTACAGGGAAGACAGGGAAAAGGCTCCATTTTCGTCTGGGCATCCGGGAATGGTGGGCGTCAAGGGGATGACTGTGACTGTGATGGTTACACAGACAGTATCTACACCATTTCCATCAGTAGCGCCTCACAGCAAGGCCTGTCTCCCTGGTATGCTGAAAAATGCTCATCCACACTGGCCACTGCCTACAGCAGTGGGGACTACACTGACCAGAGAATAGTAGGTTGTTTTCTGTTGTTTTGTTTTTTAATCAGACTTCCTCTACTACAACAGGGGAATGTAATTTGTGTATACAGCTAACAAAACAATTGCTTTTGAAAGGATTGATTTACTTACCCTTGCCCTCCCAGTGGGTGGACGCTCGTGCTTAGTCACTTGTAAAATTTTCATATATTAAAATATGATTTTTTCCTTCAAGGATAATCACACTTCTGAGTGGATGATTTTGTCTATCTACCTCTTGTTCTTTTGGTCTGATAGTGAGGATCTATCAAATGTTGTCATAATAGGATGTCTCAAAAGTCTTAGTGTGGTTTCAAGTTCATAGAGCTTAAAACTGCGCTATCGGTGCTTAAAAATGCTCTGAGACTTTGAAGGGATGACTCTCCGAAGGGCTTGGACTTTACACATCTGTGCTAGCTATTTGGAGAACCACAATCACAATAAGCAAGGGCTCTGTGATCTTGTTGATTTGAGAGTTCTCTCCAACCATGCAGATCTAAGCCCATCTATGCTGTCCATCCTCCTATATGATCCTCTTTCAAGTTCTCCCTAAAGGTCACCTCAGGGGATGTGAAAGGCCTTGCTCAATCTCTCCTGTCCCAGGGAGCCCCTTGGTGGTTCACCTTTCATTCTTCACTCTCATAACATTCAGCAAGTTATAAAAATACCAATTAAAGGCCTGCCTCATCCTAAGAGAGTGGCAAGCTAAAAAGGAAAATAACTGAGTTCAACATTTTCCAGAGCTGACCTCAGTGTCCAGATCAGTAGCCCAGGAAATTTATGTTTCAGAAAGATCTTTCAGCCCACATTCAGATGTCCTGCAGATAACCAGGATTCATTCTATTTAGGGCGGGGCTTTTTAACCTCAGGTCCACATATCCCCTAAAGAGTCTGTAGATAGATTTCAGAGAGTCCATAAACTTGAAGGGTTTTTTTTAATATTTTTATAATTACAGTTCAATATAATTGGATTTCTTTCATAATCCTATGTGTTTTATTTTGTGCATTTGAAAATATTGTTCTGAGAAGGGGTCCATGATACAAAAAAAGGTTAAGAATTACTGTTTTAGTGACTTATTAGACTCCTTCAAGGGCAAAATGTTAAAGCATGATATGGGAGCTTTGTGGCCAGAGCTCCATTAATTAAAAATGTTGTGAACCCCACTATTAATTCTTGACACAGAAAAAATAACTGACTAGCTAAGGCATATAGGATCCTAATCTCATAACATAACTATTGGTTATGTTCTTCAATTAAAAGTATGTGCGTTCATTTCCTACAAACAGCTCAGTGATTTTATCTTCTCCAGACAAATCATGAGCAGAGAACTGTTTTTTTTTAAATAATGTGATAATTTAATCAGTGAAACTGTGGTCTCAGCTGAAAATCATTTTTAACTCTCACCTTAATTTTTTGCACTGATTCATTTCACAAACAGTGAAAAATATTTTTTTTGGATATAGACATACAGCAAAGGCAATATTCTGCATGATCCTTGAATCTGGGCTATCAGACACTTACTCCTCCCTTTATCAAGTGAGCACAGCAGGCTAGTGTCTCCATGGATATTTAATAGTCCCTTCAAGGGGATGGGTTTATCAAGCATTTCAGATATAGTTAGCCCTATTTCATCCTCTTCATTATTCTGCAAGGAAGCAGCAAGGAGGAGTTTGGGGTCTCAAGAGATCCCTATTTAGATCAAACACACTGAAGACCAGCGCACATGATGGAAATCAGTGAAAATAGTTCCAAGAAAATCAGCCTTGTCTAACTTACTCAAACCTGTTCCTTAGCCTTGTCAATTGTAGCCATCTCCCAGCATCTCTTGTCAACAGCAGCTTTGTTTCTGCAACCCTCAGGAGAGAACATTTTGCCTCCATTTTGGAAATTCAGCAAATCCAAGTGGGAGGTGATAATTGAACAAATTTTTTTTTCACACCTCCTGCCCACACAAAGAAACCTCTAGTGAGATAGGCAACTGCACCACAGAAACCTAGGTGGGCTCTCATTATCAGTCCCGTTATTGGTTGTACCAGCCACCCACCCTTGTCATCAGTTATGGGAACCTTGGAGGCAAATTAATCAGGAAGGCTATCTGTTTGCTTCCACATATCCCTCCTTATCAATGCTCACTCCTCTACACACACACACACACACACACACACACACACACATACACACACACACACATATCATGGAAACAGCATTCTGGTTAGGAGATGCAAAAAAAATCATCAAGTTGTTTTTAAATGCAATTGTAAATGCATGCACATGGGAATCAAATAAAATCCATGTGTATTTGTTGAGCACCTACTCTGTGTACTGAACAGATGACTGAGCCCCTACTGAGTGTGTTAAGTTCACATACTGATTAACATTATCAAGATCAGGTCAGTTTCAAACAGAAATCAGAATATTTCTGTTAAAGACATAGTCAAATGTCAATCTGAAAGGAAGAGAACAATTTTTTGCAACAAGAGGACTTCTAAATATACTAGATTAAACACAATGGGTATGATGATTAATGAGATAGCATGATTCACGATGGTTTTGAAACATTCCTTTTTTATATACAGTGTAACTCTAGGAATCTCAGGGGGAGAAAAGAGATAAAATATTCATAGGGGGAGGTAGTTCATTCCCAGAGAACCTACGCTGATACCAAAATCACAAGCAAGTTGGAGAGAGAAGAGAGTGACCTGAAATATCAGCAGATAACATCCCTACATTTGTTTGGGAGAGACAGGGAACTGAATCAACTGAGTTACCTCATTGTAGTCATTATTAGCCTTTGATTACAGTTAATCCCAAGCGATGACATTTATGATATCATTGTATTTTCTCCCTGTGTCCCTCCTCCTGTGTCACTGCCCAGACAAGTGCCGATCTGCATGATGATTGCACTGAGACCCACACCGGCACGTCAGCCTCTGCCCCTCTGGCTGCTGGGATCTTCGCTCTTGCGCTGGAAGCAAAGTAAGATGTCAAAGACTTTGAATCTTCTTTCCTGAACCTTTGCTCTTTTTTAAAGGGTGTATATTGGAAAGGGAGGTAGAAATGAGAGAGCCTTCCTAGTCGGCACTCTATTAGAGGGCTGACTTTCTTTGGAGGCTTGGATTAATTTGTCTGCATTCCTGCATTCCGATGCTGGGTAATGTCAGCAATTCTTTAAATGTTAAGACAAGTTAGAAAGGCTGGCTAATTTGAAGATTATTTTTGTCCTTCCTAGAAAAGAAGATTAGCCTACTGAGACTAAATAGAACCACTAGAAAAATGATGAAATCTCCCCCTCACATGCATCCCTCCCCCACCCTACCCCTAATTCTTATGTTAGGCATGTTCAGTGGATTTGCCACTTGATGATGCCCGGTAGTTGAACTAGGATGCTAAAGTATGGGAATAGCCTGACCTATGCCAGGAGTGATTAAATCATTAAAACCATGGGCACTTACCCATCTTCTTCATTGAACTCCTAGAGCCCAGGTCAGTTTTAGCAACCCTTGGTCTGCCTGAGAAGTTTAGTTTAATCCAAGTTAGTTTCAGGATGTGTTAGATAGGATGTTGAGTAGAGCAGGGCAGAAAAATCTGTGACCAAGAATATAGTTTGTCTTAATGTCTTGACATAGTTTTATATATTCAGCACACACTCAGGAACAAGAACTCAGGAAGTAAGGAGAGAACATAGAAGTACCCTAGGTCTAAGCCGGCAAGGTCATGTGCTTAGTTCAAGTGGAATGGTTTAAAAAAAAAAAGCGGTATCCAACAGGAAATGAAATCCAAGTAGTCAGATCAATGTCAGTGTCTAGAGAACCAAAACAAGCATTGTAAGGATAGAAAAGAAGCAGTCTCATACAAATAAGTTATACATTAGTGGAAGAGGGAGCTATAACAACAACATAACAATAATAATAGTAATAATAACTAGTGGTTTATAGTGCTTTAACATTTGCAAAGTGCCTGTTAAATTGTTTTTATTCTTCATCAAAATATCCTGTAAATTAGATTATTATCCCCATTTTACAGACAAGGAAACTGAGGCTGAAAGTGACTTGCCCAAGGTCACACAGCCAGTAAGTGTTTGCAGCTCAATTTGATGTGAGGACATAGATTAGCTACCCTTTTCTTGGTCTTATACTTCCGGATGGGTATAGCCAGACATCTGAGGGAGAGCTAGAGAAAAGTCCCATTCTGTGACTGGAGCAATTACTTCAACAAAAGGGGCCAATCTAACCTGATAAGATGACTTTTTTTTTTTTTTCCTGTGGAGGCCCTTCTATATTAGCGTCTAGCCTGGGAACTTAGCTTCTGCAGCAACTCCAGATCAAGGAAGCAGCCTATTCCTCCCACTCATTGTTAAAATGAAGATACCTTATTGACTTTAGAGCAATCAGCAAGGAAAGAAGGAGGCTGCCCCGTGGCTAAGAAAACATCTGGCTGCATGAGGTTCTGACAGCATCAGCCACAGTGCCAACAACCAGGCTGTTCTAATACCAAAGAAGGCTTTCCAGAAAGCTGGACCTCTACCACAACCGCTTATATTTCTATGGAATCTTATAATTTCCAAAATACTTCCCTTATGGTAACTCTATGAAGTGGGTAGTAAAAATATTGTTTCCCCATGGAGGCTCAGAAAAAATTTCAATATCTAATAAGTAGCAGAGTCAACACTGGGACCCAGGTGTCCCCACTCCCCAGATAGGATTTTTGGTATTTTATGTCTGCCATAAGAGATCATTAGCATAAGCAAAATACCATATTGGATGCCTTAGGCCTGGGAGGTGAGGCCAACATGGAGAGGTAAGGGAGGGAAATACTTCCCATGAACTTATGGAGACCATTACCACAGATGGGCCCTGGAGAATTGCCCACATTAGCTAAATAGGTCCTTCTGGGTCTTTATAAAGATGTTTAGTAACGAATGTGCTAAATGACTAGAACCCATCTGAGAAATATCATGCTCCCCTCTCCACCTGCCTCCATGCATGGGATAGTGGGAATTCCTGTAGAAGGTGAGAAAAAAAGAGTTAATTTCATGGTTAAGAGACAATGACTCAAGCCTTGTCAGAAAGATAAAGAGAAAATGGGATGAAAAGGTGATACAGTATATAGAGCCCTGGACTTGGAGTTAAGATGACCTGAGTTCAAATTCAGCCTCAGACACCTATGTGACCCTAGGCAAGTCACTTAACCTCAGTCTGCCTCAATTTCCCCATCTGTAAAGTTAGGATAATAATAGCTCCCAATCCCCAGAGTTGTTTTGAGGACAAAATACAAGATAATATTTGCAGAGTGCTTAGCACAGTGCCTGGCATATAGTATCAATTTTTTAAATTACATAAACATTTAAGTGTCATTTTAATTTGGAAGGAGAGAGGCTGGAATGGGAAATTATTTTAGTATTATGAGGTCAGTGAAAAAACATCACAAAACATTGGCAAAAATAAACCCTATTTTCACCGAGTGCAAAGGAAGAAATATGCTTCAAATGCACGAAGAAGGAATTGAGTTAGTTATTGTGAAGAAAACCTTGAATTCATGTGTTGTGAGATACTGAAACATGTTGCCAAGGTTACTGAATGTCCATCTCTTAAGATGTTCGAAAGAAATGGAGATGATCTTTTTGAGGTCAGAGAAGTAGAAGCCTGGACTTAGCAACCTCCAGCATTTCCCCCCAAATTACATTTACTCCCTTTCCAATTAGTGGCACTAAATGCCTAATTCCATAATTGTTATTTTCTGCAAACATATCTTTAGTTGGCAATCCACCACATTGTTAAAATAGGCCTTTTCCCCAGGAAGTTAGTTTAGCTGCTCAGTGAGCAAAGAATGGTGGTCAGGAATAAGATGAAGAGTTAGCAAGATATTTTTTTCATCTATGGAATGTAATCATTCAGATGGGAAATGGTAGAAAGGACTTCATTTTCTTAATTATGTTAGAATGCCATCCCCTTGAATATTTGCCAAAGATTAGGTAAGAATAAACAAATGAGGAAACCATGGAACCTGCATATTAAGCAATGTCATTAAAAGAGAAATGTGACATGAATGGAGAAACTATATCAGGCCAAACAACAGACTGCAGCTCTAACATGAGATCCCTCTGCAAGGAAAATATATATAAAGAGATAGTCACTAAAAATTATTACATGAAATTTGCAGTATTAAAATCCATTTGTGGTGAATGTATAATATAATCTTTTATTTCAATGCCTCATCATGACATGAAGGTAAGCTTGGGATTTCAAAGGTTGGTTCAGAGAAATACGGGCCCTGGTAAGTTTACCAAGTTTTCTCAGACCCCAGAGGTGGAATGTGTCTTTGGCTAAGGACCAGCATAGCTAAGATCACAGAGATTTCTCACCAGCAGGTTGGGTGCAGAGTGATGAATTTTTATTTTTTTATTTTTTTTTGTGGTTTCCTTAAAAAATATTTTACCATTACTTAATATCTCTGTCTCCCACTACTGCCTCCCTAACCCAAAACAGTTTCTAAAACTCTCATAAAAATGTGCGAAGTCTAGCAAAACAATTTCCCACGTTGGCCGGGTCCAAACCTGCATGAATCATTTTGGATTTGGAGTCCAAGGTGGTGAATTTTTAAAGCATGGCAGCTCACAAAGCGTGTGTCCTAAGATTGGTTTCAATCTATTGCCAGATAATCACACTGATGAAATCACAGAGCCTTGAAATATGGATGAAGAACTTACTATGTGGTGTAGCTGGCTTTTTTTTCAACATTTATTTCAATTTGAATATTAAATCATATATTTGGCTTTTAAAGCCCTTCAAAACCTGGCCCCTTCCTACCCTTCCAGTCATCCTACACAATTCAGGAGTGGGGAACCTGTGGCCTCAAGGCAACAAGTGACCTTCTAGGTCCTTGGGTGCAGCCTTTTCACTGAGTCCGACTTTTACAGAACAAATCCTTTTACTAAGGGGATTTATTCTATGAAGTTTGGATTCGGTCAGAGGGCTGCACTTGAGGACCTCGAGGGCCACACGTGGCCTCGAGGCCGCAAGTTCCCCATCCTCGTCCCTTTTACATACTCTGTGGTAAAGCTACATTGGCCTTCATGCTGTTCCTCATGCACGACCGTCCATCTCTGTCTTCTGGCTTAGATGCCTTTCACTGACTGTCCTCCATGTCTGAAATACTCTTCTTCCTCACCTCAACCTCCTGGCTTCCCAGGCCTTTTTCAAGACCGAGCTCAAATCCCATCTTCTGTCATGTTTTCCTTATAGGTGTTTACCATGTTGAATAGGTAGACTTTAGAGATGGAAAGGACTTTAGAGATCATTTTTGCATGATATTGGTGCTCAATGAAACACCTAGTAAAGGTACACTAATGAGAAAATGGTAGAATTTCCTCCCTGGGCTAAGTGAGAGTCAGAAAAGTGAAATGTCCCCTCTAAGGTCACATGGCTACCTAGCAGCAAAGCCTAGAGGCAAAGCCTAGATTGGAACCCAGATCTTCTACCTTGTGCTCCGTCCAGTAACACTCATTGCTTTCCAAACAGCTGTTAAACCCAATTTTTCATGTATGTTTCATGAATTCGTGATTTTCTGTTGACATATCCTATATGATTTACGTCCTAATTGACTGTATATATGTTTATACTCTTGCTATTAACTTCTTGGTTTAAAAATTGTAACATATGAAGCCAATTCTTCCTCATACAGTCCCTGTTAGTCTTATGCTTGGCTATGCACACTAACTCTGTCCACCTGGTAGTCTGTGTATTAGACCGTGCCCTGCCCTGGGAACAATGCATCCCCTTTCTTCAAGTGCCTAAGCCAGCAACCACCTCTATTTGGGAAGTCATTTTTAAAAGCACCAGTAACCATTTGTTTTGAACAAAATAGTTGTACTTACCAAACAACACTTTATTGACTTTACTGACCTTAATGAATTAAGACATCTTGTCCTAAAACTCTGGCCTAGAAGCCAAGATAACCTGGGTTCCAGTTTTGCTTCTGATACACCCTGGCTGTACCATGCTGGGCAAATCTCTAAGACTATAAGATGCGGAGAAGGTGCTGACCTGCATTAGTAGAGGGAGTTTTCTCATTGGGAGTTCCTAAGTATATTAGTATGTTGGAGCCAGCTCATAGGAAAGCCAATTGTTAAATTTCCAATGTGAGCAATTAGACCTCTCTAATAAGTAAACATTACAAATCAGGACTTGATTTGTTGCTTGTCTAAACTTAAAAAAGTGATGAATATAATGTTAATAATGCAAATTAAACTTAAAATTCTGCTGTGGGTACATTTCCACCCTGGAAAGCCAATTGTTAAACATTTACCAGCATACATTTGCCTGTACCAATGAAATCACAGGTCCAGTTATTATATGGATACTATAGATCCCTATATATAGGATATTATAGGGATACATATATATATATACATATATATATATATGTATATGATATTACAGGGGTATCCTGATCCTTATCCAAAAAGAGGGAGGAATTTAAGCATCATGAAGTACATTTGGCTCTTTATAGGTTTATAGATTTGAGTTTATACTTTGCATGAGTAACTTATTGGTAAAGACCACTTTGAATTTTAAGATTTCATTATTCATGATATTATGTTGATCATATCAATGACATAAAACTATACTATAATAGACTCATTAATAATAAACATTAGCATAACCTTAGTTTATCAGCAATCATACCTGCTATGTAATTATTGATAATAATAATAAAAGCTAGCATTTTTTAGTGCTTTAAGGTTTGCAAAATGCTTAATATAAATTATCTCATTTGGTCTTCACAACAACCCTTGGAGGTAGGTGCTTTTTTTGTCCCCATTTTACAGATGAGAAAACTGAGTCTGAGAGAGGTTAAGAGTCTTACCAAGGGTCACATAGCTTGTAAGTGTCTGAGACAGAATTTTAACTCGGGTTTTCTAGACTCCAAGTCTGGCACTCTATTCAGTTATATTTGCAAAGAAGTTTTATTTCTGAAATATTATAATATCCCTCCCCATGCAGCCCTCATCTTACCTGGAGAGATATGCAACATTTGGTCGTGTGGACCTCTGAATACGACCCTCTGGCCATCAATCCTGGTTGGAAGAAGAATGGGGCAGGATTGATGGTGAATAGTCGATTTGGATTTGGGTTACTTAATGCTAAGGCTCTGGTGGATTTAGCTGATCCTAAAACTTGGAGAGGTGTCCCTGAGAAGAAGGAGTGCATTGTAAAAGACAACAACTTTGAGCCCAAGTAAGAAATTCCTTGGCCTTTTATTCTGACTTCCATTTGTCATACTATTTGATTACAGCATCTGATGTCTGAAAGAACTTTCTCAGGGCTCTGAGTACTCAGCAGCAGCTAAGATAACCTCCCTTCTTCTCCCTCCCATATCTCACTTCTGCTTTTGTGCCATTGAGGGAGAAGGAGATCAACAGTGTCCTCTGTGGGATGCTAGAAAATCCTTATGGGTGACTTGATGGTTAAAGGACATATATTGTATAATATAGACGTAGAACCGTTCCCCCCTCTGCTTTATATTGAAGAGGAATTGAGACCCCGAGAGGTTAAATGACTTGTCCATGGTCATATAGAACAGAGAGTAGGTCTTGGATCCAGGCCTTAGCTCCAATACAACTGCTTCTAAACCATACCAATATCTATTTTTACAGACTGCTCATCTTTAGTCTCTGTTCTTGTAGTTTTTCTTCATATCATGTAATTTGTTATACGGTATTTTTACACTGAATATTTTTCATTATTTATGTACATTTCACCTAGAAATTGCCCATAGATGTATCAAGTTATAGCACAGAAGCAGACCAGGTTATGATTGGTTTCTATTCCCACAATCATTGTAATTAATATTATACTAGAGACACTAAAATCATGTCAAAAATAATAGATTGTGTTTACATAGTGCAAAATGATTACAAAATGCTTTACACGTATTATCTCATTTGATCTTCATGATAGCCCATGAGTTATGGAATGCAATACTCTTATCACAATTTTTAAAAAAAGAAAGAAACTAACACCAAGACAAATAAAGGGACTTGCCTGGAGTCACACAACTAAATAAGCAGTAGAGTTTGGGCCTCCTTACACCAAGCAGTGGGATTGTTTCATAGCTGAAACCACATTATTAAAACCTGGTCACGGCAGCTGTGCTCAACTACAATCTATCTGTCTCACCACCTAGTTGCCTCATTGATCATCGGCTGGACTAATTGGCCTCTAATTTCTTTTCCATTTCTGAGATAAATACCTAAACCTTCTTGGTTATAGTCCAAAGCATTACATTCTAGAGCAAATAGTATTATAACACAATTTCAGGTTATCTTATTCATATTTTCTAATATATGTCAACTACCAACCTTGTTTCAGAATCCATCTTCATAATACAAAAAAAAGGCCCCTGCTGATACAATGTAGGATGCCTGTATATCCACACATATAAAATTTACTGAATTTGATAAAAAGCTTATTTATTTATAACCCTTAACTTTTTTTAGGTCATTGAAAGCTGATGGAGTAGTTACTATTGAAATCCCCACAAAAGCCTGTGAAGGACAAGAAAATTCCATCAAGTCTTTGGAACATGTGCAATTTGAAGCAACAATCGAATACTCACGGAGAGGAGACCTTCATGTCACACTCACCTCTGCCGCTGGTACAGAGAAGAGATGGTTTTTTTGTTTGTTTGTTTTTGCCCCTCCTTCCAAAGTCATTTAAGTCCTTATTTAAATGCCTGTAGAATTTGTTATGTTCAAGGAATAGTTTGCTACAGAGTGCCTAAAGGATAACTTCAAGTCTATAAGTAATGTGTTTGAGGCTGAGTTCCCATTGCTCATTTGGATAAGTGGTGAATAAGATCTATGGAAAGTGAGCCTGTTGACTCAAATTTCCCCAGTTTATAAGCTTATGACTCACAAAGAATTCTCATACTTTGAGGAGGATTTTTCAAATCCTAACATTGATCGCGATGTTCTTCATATAGTTACTATTCCAGGAATCCTTTTTTTTAATTTTCCACAGGCAATACTTTTAAATGACCATTTATTATCTCCTGTTTTCATGTCACTTACATTGCCCAACATGTCTCTTGTTCCACTCTCTCCCTGAAAACCATCCCTATAACAAAGAATGAAAAAGAGAGGGGGAAACAGTGGAGCAAGATTAACCATCAACCAGAACTGACATTATCTGCAGTGATCTATGCCCATAGTCCCTCACCTCCTCTAAGAAAGCAGGGAGTTACAGACTGAAGCATATTATTTTTTACTTTCTTTTCCTTCTTTTCTTCTTTCTTTTTCTTTCTTTCTTTCTTTCTTCCTTCTTTCTTCTCTCCTTCACTCCCTCCCTTCCTGCCTTTCTCCCTTTCTTCCTTCCTTTCTTCTTTCTTTTTCTTTCTTTCCTTTCTTTCTATTTTTCTTTTCAAGTCTTCTTATGCAAAATGACTAATTTGGAAACGTTTTACATGATTACACATGTATAACCTATATCAGATTGCTTACCATCTCAGTGAGGGGAAAGGGAGGGAAGGGGGGATAGAATTTGGAACTCAAAACTTAAAAAAAAATGTTAAAAAATGTTTTAACAAGTAATTGGGAATAATAAAATATTATTAAAAAAAGAAAGCTGGGACTTGAGTTCTCATTGCTCTTCTTTGGGAATAGTTTGGCCAATATAATTTCTCAGCATTCAGTTTCAATTGTTGGGTTGTTGTTTCCATTTACATTAAAGTCACTGTGTATATTGTTCTCCTAGTTCTGCTCACTTCACTTTGCAACAATTCATATAATTGTACTATCCTATGCTCTCTTGTACTCATCTCTTGTGGCACAGTAATATTCCATCACATTGATTTACCACAATTTGTTTGACAATATGTTATTAAATTATACTTGTTAAGCCCCAGAGGGCTAATTCCACTTCCAATATGTGCAGTAGACCAAAGTAGTTTAGGTACATCTTGCTCAGTTTAAAGGGGTTTAAAAAAAACAGAGTTTCCCTAATATGAATGGAATGGGCCTTTATGCACTTTGTAGAAGGTTTTTGAGATGGAAGATGTAAAAGTTCTTTGTAAAGTACAAGTCATTATTATTAAAAGCTTTGATACATGCCTCTTTGAAAGTGAGGTCTTAGGAAACTATATTTCTCAAAATTCAAGCAAAGTAAAGATGTATTGCCACCGAGGTAAGATGGATCCTTAGAATGGCCACACTCCCTTTCTGAAAGGATTCATGATATGATCAGTCTGATATTTGGAAAAGACTGACATCTGAGAAAGTATAGTGTCATGGAAAAGAATCCTGGGCTTGGAATCAAGAGAAACTTGGGTTCACATCCTGGCTCGGAAAGCTGTGTGACCATGGGCATGTCACTTTACCTTTCTGAGCCTCAGTTTCCTCACCTGTAAAATGGGGATATGAATAAGAACACTGCTTATCTCACAGGATTCTTGTAATGATCTAATGAGAGAATGTATGTTGGATTTTGCATATCAAAAAGTGCTATATAAATGTCACGCCTTAAGCTTCCCATACTTCTTACAACCTGCCGTGTAGACTAGGGCCTACACTGAAGCTCACTAGCTCTTTTGATTCAGGAGATAAATGGCTGCTAATGGCTCTGGGAGGAGACTGGAATTCAGTTATCATTACATTTCTGGCTCTGCCCCTAGTTTGTTGTGTAAACATAGGTCAGCTAATTCATATATTTCTATTTGAGTATTAAGTGGTTGCTCTATAATTTACATTTAATGATCTCTGAAAACTGTGAATCTTTCTCTTTATAAAGTGATAATGTGCCTGAAAAGTATTTATGCCCCTTGAATCTTTCTTTTGAATGTTGCTTAAATGTAGCTCTCAGCTCTTTGTATTCAAATGAACTTATACATTCCCCTTTCCTTATGAATGGCTATATTCTGGCCTTGTACTGAAAGGAGATTTTGAGAACTCATTGCTATCCAAGCATCAATTTTTTACTAGCTAGATTTTATCCAAATAACAAATACCAATTACCTGAAGTAATTTCCCTTACTTCATCCACTAATGTTAGTCAGTCAGTCAATAAACATTTATTAAGTGCCTATTGCATGACAGTCACTGTGCTAAGAGACAGATGTGTGTGTTTTGTTTTTGTTTTTGTATCAACACAGGAACCAGTACTGTGCTATTGGCTGAAAGAGAGAGAGATACATCACCCAATGGTTTTAAGAACTGGGACTTCATGTCTGTTCACACGTGGGGAGAGGATCCAGTAGGCACCTGGGCTTTACGAATTACTGATATGGTATGTAGATATGTGTATGGGTGTGTGTGTGTGTGTGTGTGTGTGTGTGTGTGTGTGTGTGTGATGGGAAAGGTATGAAAGTGAATTTATGGTAGATAAGCAAAGTTCTCAGAGCATGTCGTTGGGGATGTTAAAGGTTTGGAAATGGGCATCAACATTTATCAGGGCATTAAAGGAATGTGACTGCTACTTAGTAGAAAAGTTGGAAGAAAATACAGTTATCCCTTCCACATAGTGACTTTCCCTATCATGGTTTCAGCATATCCTAGGTTGGTATAAGAAATTAAATGGAATTTTTGGGGAGTTTTGCAGAAGCCACAGATGACACAGAAAAAGTTTAGAAGCCCAGAAATGCATAAAATATATGCATAGTATTATATAATACCAACATATTTTATCTTCTAACATCATAATAATTCAGACTTCTTCTCTGGTATGAAGGGAGGGCCAAAAAATTTTACATGGATTTTCCAGATCATGGGGGTTCTGTGCTCCTAACCCCCATGATGTGGAAGGAATGATTGTATCATTTGTAGAAATTTACACATTCAGATGTATGGATAATAGTAGAAAAAGAAGCTCAGGGAACTGAAATTTTGTCAGTAACACTGGAAGCCACACCACATACGCATAAAGTGACTCACCTTGGCAAGCCTGATCCAATCATTTTGCTCCTCTTGATGAAGAATGTGAATTACTCCCTGACTGCTTATTCAAATGGCTGAATGATCCATCTATGTAACTGGTCAAATTGTTTTTGCCATGGTATAGTATAGATATTACATCTACCTATAGTACAGATATTACATCTAGTCTGGTACAATTTAGAGATGTGGGTAAGAAGTAGTAAGGTGTGGTTTGATAGAAAGCTGTCCTGGCAGTTAGAAAGAACTGGGTTCAAATCCCACCTCTGACATCCTGGCTGTGGGAGCCAAGGCAAGGCACTTCAGCATCCCAGGCAACTCTCTAAGATTATAATTGTACAGCAGCTGCCACTCTGCATTGATAAAGGAAGCTTCTTCATTGGAGGAAATGAATACTAATATATTACAATATATACCAATGAAATTACAGGTCTGTATTGGGAAGAAAAAAAATAAAGCTACATTGTGGATTTTCTAAATTCTGTACTTCCATGAAGTGAGATACAGAGGAATTTATTTTTTACTTCTCTCCCTAACACAAAATGATGTTCATGATAGGCAATCATAAAGAGAGAATAGATCAGAATGTCTGAACAGAGAACCTTTAGGAACTTAAGATTCTTATGCATTATCCTTCAAGCAATTACTGCCATATTTTCCTTTAGGATAGGGCAGATTGAAAAATGAATGAATTTACTCAGCATGTATAAGATTTGAGGTGTGAAATTTCCTCCAAAAGTGAATTCTTGAGAATCAGAGGTATCAGATTTCTATATCAAATTAAAATGGTATAATAGAAACAATTTAAAACATTTTCTTGCATCTATTCAGAATTGAAATCAACGCAGTTTTAGTTACTATTTTTTTAATTCTTGAAAAATAGCTCTTCTTCCTCCCATAAAACACCTTAATGTTTCAAATTAAAAACAGAGCATCTCAGTCCTCTGAAATCATGGTTGGCCATTCCATCAATCAGATGATGATGAACTATACTACCCCCTTGACAGAGAGTGATGGACCTAAGGTGCAAAATGAAACAAATATTTTTGGACATTGACAATGTGGGAGTTTGTTTTTTTTAACTATGCATATTTGTTACAAGTTTTTTCTTTATTCTTTTAAATTGGAGGGAATGGGAGAAAGGGAAAATAAATGCCTGTTAAAAGAAAAATAAAATGGGGGCAGCTAGGTGGCACAGCAGATAGAGCACCTGCCCTTGAGTCAGGAGTTCCTAAGTTCAAATCCAGCCTCAGAAACATAACACTTACTACTTGTGTGACTCTGGGCGAGTCACTTAACCCCAATTGCCTCACCCAAAAATAAAATGAAATTTAAAAAGGAAATGAAATATATGAATATCTTCATCTTTTGGATATAGCAAAGAAGAATAAATTGAAGAAGTTACAGAATGTGCCATTTAACAGTTGTGTGACCATTATTTATTTTGTAGTTAGATTTCAGTAAATTGTAACTTGATCTTCGTATTATTATCCTTAACATTTTATTAGAGAAAATTATTTTCTCAAATTAAAAAAGTTTGCTATTTTCTTTTGTGCCTTTTATTATATGCGGTAGCAAAGTTTCCCTCCATGGGAACATACCTCCACTTTTATGATGGGAAAAAAAATCTTGAAACTACAGGCAACTTTTTAACAATATGTCAATTCTACAAAGTAAGGCTCACCTAAAGAGTTTAAATGTTTCATTGTCTAGGCAAGTAAACATTATTGGCCAGAGGGGGATGGGGGGAGGGGTGTTACCTGGATCTGAAGACATTGCTATTGCAGGTAATTGGAAGGAGCCTAATGATTTCCTTCTTACTACATAAAGTACCATGTTTCTAAATTTCTTCTGGCAAATGTTTAACAATCATCTTTCCAGCAGGGGGAGAATGTACAAAGGACCCACTTTTCAGTTTAATCTGCATTATTAATATTTTCTCCATCACTTAAGCCTAGATATCAACAAAATCATAAATCAAACCCCAATTTGTAGCATGTCTACTTTTTTGGGGGAAGGGGGGAGGCAACTGAGGTTAAGTGACTTTCCCAGGGTCACACAGCTAGTAAGTGTCAAGAGTCTGAGACTAGATTTGAACTCAGGTCCTCCTAACTCCAGAGCTAGTGCTCGATCCACTGCACCACCTAGCTGCCCTGTAGCATGTCTGTTTTTGAGGTGTAAATGCTTATACTGAAAATTTTACAGTTGGTTCTGGGGAATCAGATCAAGCTGGCTCCAGCACACCCTGTATGTTTCTATCAGATATTATAATAAGATGTTAATCATGAACCTGAAGGATGCTTAAGGATCTATTTTGAGGAAAGTCGAACACATTCAAAGCCCACCACAAATAATGTCTGTACTTATTCGTTAGTCTGGAAGAATGGAAAATGAAGGAAGAATTGTGAACTGGAAACTGATTTTGCATGGGACTTCCACCCAGCCAGAACACATGAAACAGCCTCGTGTCTATACTTCTTATAATGCTGTGCAGAATGACAGGAGAGGAGTGGAGAAGATGGCCGATTCTGTGGAGGTCTGTATATGTCTCTTTTCTTTGTAAATTGCTATGCAGCTACTTTCAAAAGACCTCCATGGTATCCTGCTACTCCAAAGGATTAATGTGACCTCCCTAAAGTGGCTCATTTGTGATGACAGTATAGTTCAGATACCTAGAAAAACCCAAACCATTTTCTTTAAGAGAAAACATGTTTTCTCTAGCATTTAGGTCCTATATTACTCCTGGCTCACATTCATATATCATTTTGAAATTTACAAAATGTTTCCTTCACAAAAACCCTTAAAGGAAGTTAGTGTAAACATTATTGCTCTTATTTTTAAGAAGTGGAACCTGAGACTCAGAGAAGTACATTGAATTTCCCCAAGGTCTAATGATTAATGTTAGAGCAGAGCCTTGAACCCGAGCCTTGTGGTTCCAAGCACAGTATTCTTTCCTATACACCACACTCCCTTGTTTTCTCCTCTTCCAATCATCTCCTCTTTCTCCCAACTCCTAAGTTCCCTGGGGTTCCATCTATCATAAAGATTTATTTTAATCTACCCAATGATAGATGAACTTTTTCTCTTTTGAACTCACAGAGCACTATTTATGCAACTTCAATTTTATCTATCTTACTCTGATTTGTATTTAAGTTCTTTACATACTTGTAACCTCCCTAAAAGAATGTAAGCTTCTTGAGAAAAGGGGCTATGTTTTCAATCAATCAATAATCATTTAGTAAGCCCCTACTATGTTTCAGGGACTGGGCTAGATAGCAGGGATACAAAGTTAAAAATGAAGCAGTCTCTGGCCTCAAAAAGTTCACCTTCTATCGAGGGAGACAAAATGTACAAATATAAATATATAATTATAAATCTAGAGCTGGGAGACACTTTAGAAGCCACTTAATCTGATCCCCTCATTTTATAGGTGAGGAAACCAGTGCCGATAGGGGTGAAGTAACTTGACCCTAGAATGTAATTGGAGGGTGGGAAGAGGGGAAGGGAAAGTACCGGTAGCAGGGAGAATTACCAAAAGAGCTTACAAAGGAAATGGAGTTTGAACTAAGATGTGAAGGAAACTAGAGATTCTCAGAGACAGAGGTGAAGAGGGCGTGCTCTGCAGGCATAAGGGACAGCCTGCAGAGGTATTATCATGTATGAGGAATAGAAAGAAGACCAGTGCAGCTGGAATGAAGAATGTATGAAAGGAAATAATGTATAAGACTGGAAACATGAGTTGGAACCAGGTTGTGAAGGATTTTAAATACCAGACATCAACTTAATAAAATTAGACATTGAATGAACAAATAGATAAATAAATTTGCTATTTTGACTCCCTTTTTTCTTGTCTGTAATTCAATTCCCATGATATTTTTATTATAAATGGCAAGATTTTATATGTAAAATCACTTTGATAATAAACTATTAAGTCCTAGGATTATCATTATATTCCTATACCCATGAGGACTGAGATTGTATTTTTTTTTCACTTCTCTGTCCCTTTAGTAGTGTTGGTTTAATTGAATTAAAACTAATAATACTTTTTCAATTCACTAAAGTTACAGATCATACAGGTTAAGAAAGTCCAAATTATGATGTTATTTAGATGGTCTAGTTAAAGTACATACATACCAAAGCTTGAATTAGTCTTTTTTTCTATGTAAATAAACACTTTTTTTTAACAAATGCATTATATTAGAGAATTCCCTGAAATCATTAGGTTTTATGACTTCTATAATCCCTTCTAAGGTTTTATCATAACTAAAATAAAAATTGTGGGATCCACAGTACTTCTTATCAGTACTAGTTTCTTTTATTATCAGATGAAGAAAGACCATTGCAATATCATTTATAAGAATATTAGCAGTATGTCAGCTCATTCATTGGAAAAGAATCTCGTTGTAGAGTATGAATAATTAAATTGATGTTTATAGGTAGTCTCTAAATTTATAATTTGTGAGAAAGGGGACATTCTGATCTTTTTTTCTACCACTATGCTTTTAAATATTGGACCAGTATAATAGAATAGTCCACAGGGGCAGAATGGGGTAATGGAAAGAATACTAGATTTAGAATTGAAGGGCCTAGGTTTAAATCCCAATTTTGCTATTTACTTACTGTGTATGTCGGAAAAATCACTTGGCCTCTCTGGGTCTTAGTTTCCTCATCTGTAAAAAGAGGGCTTTGCACTAGGTGATTTCTAAAGTCCTTTTGTTGTAGTTCGGTGTTTCAGTCATGTCCAACTCTTTCTGACCCCATGTGGGGTTTTCTTGGCAAGGATAATGGAGTGGTTTGTCATTTCCTTCTCTGGCTCATTTTACAGATGAGGAAACTGAGGCAAAGAGGGTTAAGTGACTTGCCCAAGGTTACACAGCTAGTAAGTATCTGAGGCTAGATTTGAACTCAGGAAGATGAGTTTTTCTGATTCTAAGCCTGTTGCTATATCCACTGTGCCACCTCTAAAGTCCTATGGTAATGTTAACTAAATACATATAATGTTCAAGATGTCATGTTGGCATAAAAGATAAAAAGATGAAAAATAATAATTCCTGACCTTATTAAGGATTTTACAGTGTGATAGCAGGGTTTGAACAAATAAAGAAAAAAGTATGATATGAGGTAGAATGAGAAAAGGAAAAAGAAAAGATTCAGAAAAAAAGAACTGTTGGAAAATTTGAGATGGAAGAGATCAATTTTCATCTGTGTAGTTGCTGATGCATGTGTACTCCACAAATATCTTTTTAAAAAATCAAAATAGCAGGGCAGGTAGGTGGCACAGTGGATAGAGCACCAGCCCTGAAGTCAGGAGGACCTGAGTTCAAATCCAACCTCAGACCAAACACTTGACACTTGCTAGCTGTGTGACCCTGGGCAAGTCACTTGACCTCAGTTGCCTAAAAAAAAAATATCAAAATACCAATGGCCACTCTGTGGTGTTTTTTCTTTTGTTTTGTTTTAGGACCAGGCCACCCCAGAGAGCCTTCACGAAAGCCCCCAGCCCTCTAAAAGCTCCACTCCCCCAAGCGACAGCAGCAGTGACAAGTCGATGGAGAAAACACCTTCCAGGGCCATGCTCCAACTCCTCCAAAGTGCTTTCAGCAAACAGGGAGCCCCCAATCAAGCAGCAAAGAGTCAGGCGGATGAAAAGCTGAAGATCCCCTATGAACATTTCTATCAAGCTCTGGAAAAGTTAAACAAACCGTCCCAGTTGAAAAACGCCGAGAACAGCCTGTATAGTGACTATGTGGACCTTTTCTACAATACGAAGCCGTACAAGCACAGGGATGATCGGCTGCTCCAGGCTCTGGTCGACATTCTGAAGGAAGGCAACTGACGCGAGGCGGTCTCCTGAGCCGGAAATGTTCATTCTTCCTCCCTTCTCTTGTATCCTGCCTGTGACTGATGTAGGTTTTACGTTTTCTTCATATGATTATGTTCTTGCTTCTCACTGCTGTCGTGTACATAAACACATGCACATGCACACACTCATTCAAGCTCACATGTGCTTGCACATACACACATACACACACACACAAACACACACAAACACTTGCACACAATTTAGTACATATGGAGACGGAGTTTGCTTCCCGCTGAAAGCCTAGCTGTACTGGGGACAGTCAACAAGAGCTCGATTTAAAACATGTTTTCACAAGTGAAATGTTTTGTTTTGTTTTGTTTTTCTTTCTGGAATCAAAGTCCATTGGTGTTTCTCCTATCGTATTTCAAAACCGCTCTAAGCTGCCTCTCTTTTTCCAATTTTCGTTTCTCAAAAGAATAATAATTTAAAAAAAAAACTCTGGGCTACAAAACATTAAAAACAAAACTGCTGCAAAACACCAGGAGATGTGCCTACAGCCTTTTTTTCTGTCCCCTCCATAGCTGTTTCCTGTCTAGCAATGACTTTTAGGATTGTGGTTCTTACAACTAAAGGGCTCCCTAAATTACAAAAAGTCAGGATCATATATTTAGAGCTGGAGAGGCCTTTCCAGGTCATCCAGCCCCACCCCTCATTTTGCAGATGAAGAGCTGAGCCTTAAGGCCAACCATCCAGGTGGTTAAGTGGAAGGGCCAGGTTGGAACCTGAGGTCTCTTCTGACTCTTATTAATTTAAAAATCTAGTGCTCCTTCCACTGTACTAGAAAAGGGGAAATGAATTAAGTATGTGATTAATGTGGATCAATGAGGAACAAAAATGGAGTTTTGACCTGGATTATCTAGCTTACATAGTTAGCAAAATATATCCAACACTTTATATGGTGTAGAACCAGCCATTGAATTAAAACTTAGTGTTTTTCCTTCTTGGTTCTCCTTATTCTGAATTTTTTTCCTTTCCCCTTTATATGCCCCTTTCTCAGAGCTGAACTTTCAGTTCAATAAATAGTGTTCTGTATTTCACAAAGCAAAAATCAGGAAATAATTCTGAATGAGAACAGCCAAGAAAAAAAACACTCACAAATAAGCCAATACATTGCATAAAAGAGGATTTTCTGGTTTCTAAAATGTCAACCTGCTCTTTGGGCTCTAAGACCTCTTTCCTACTCTCTTTGTTTTTAGGTCCCTCATTCTCACTTCTTTACCAAAGATACCAGGCATGAATAACATTAATTAAAGGGAAAAAATTCCACACATGTTATTTTCAGACTGAATCTACATATTACAAAATAAAGGTGAGAATTTGTGTTACGCAGTTAATTTAGGCCATATCCGTGGAGAGCCAAATCAGATAATTCAGGCAAGGAAACAAAACCAAACCCAACAACACCAAAAGGACCCTAAATAAGTTATCTGGATGGGCATTTGCATCTCTGTAATAAATGCCAGTCCCTCCTTCACTGTGTATGTGCACTGAAGGCTTCTGTTTGCTTCTTGTTGCTGGTTGTAATGCTCCCTATAGCTTAGTAAGCAGTCCCAGGATTTTAAACGTGTGCAGATCAAAAAGCATTGTGAAGGTCTGCCTGATTCCACACAGTTTGGCAAAAGGACCTTCCCCTTCCCTAATCCACCATTTGAATTTGTGCAGAATGAGGCAACAGTCAGGATACAGCTCTGATACGATCATGATGCTTACAAACAGTCCTAAAAAAAATAAAATAGAATGACTGTCCCGTCCTTGGAATTTCCATGTATTATCTGATGTGAAGTGATGTGTATAGTTTTGACAGCTACAGCGAATCAGAGACCCATAGAATGTTAAAGTTGGAATTGACCCTGGTGACCATCCAGTACAAGTTCCTCAATTCACACATGGGGAAATTGAGGCCCAGGGAGGCAAAGAGACCACTTGCCTGTGGTCGCACTGCTAAAAGTGTCTGCATCGGGACTAGAACTCAGGTCTCCCTGACTCCCAACTCAGTGCTCAATGTATAATGCCTTCTTGTTAACCACGTTGAATAACATTAATTCATTGCTAAAATCTCAACCACCTCTTGTGCTGTGGCCAAAGGTTCCCCTAGTGAAGCTTTAATACAAAAACCACATCTTGTTTGAATGTTTCCAACCCAGAGTGTGTTGTATAAACATATTTTTATTGTTTGTCTTTCTTGGTGCCTGTGTGGGTTTTTGTGAAAAATGTAAAAGAGGAAAATTATAAAATGTTTTGTCTCAGAATTTTAAATTCTATTTTCTTTACAGGTATTTATAATATATCAAAACTTTTATCAAACATGCAGAATTTTGAAAGGCACAATAAATTATATTAAAGAACCATATGTTTTCTTGAAAATGAGAAAGTTTCATCCAATAAAATATTTTTCAAAGGCATGTTCCTCTAGCAATGATGATACCTACATGTATGTGATGTGATGTTACAATAACTTGTCTTACAGCATAATACAATATGTCAGCAGAGTCCAGAGTGTGTGGTCGTAACATTTTTAAAGAAACCTCAAATGAAGCCCTGAATGTATTAAACAGGAAATGTCAAATATACTTTTAAGTCAAAAGTGGTTCCCTCATTGAGTTAAAAAAAAAAAAAGATGGTGGGTATGGTAGAAATAATAATAATAAAATGACCTAATGGAACTGCCCCTTTCTCACTTATTGTGTGTTAAAAGGGGATCAACAAGAGAAAAAATATATCAAGCAAAGAGAAATAATAGACTTTAGAAATCTTCTGGTTCAATCCCCTCATTTTATGAGAAAACTAAGGTCCAAAGGACTGAAGATATTTGCCCAAGGTCACAAAAACAATGATCTGGTTGAATCGACATTAAGAATTCAGTTTCTTTTGGAGTAACTGATTTTTTTATTTTTGTTGGGGTGTGTGTGTGTGTGTGTGTGTGTGTGTGTGTGTGTGTGTGTGAGTGCATGCACACACCTGTGCATATGTATGCACTCAGGAGAGCACTCAATTTTACTTTTATCAACACTGGAAATTCAACTTTGAAATAATTATGTTTTGCCTACTAAAACAATACAAAGCCCAAAATGACTCTGATAACAATTAATGCAAATAATTCACCCTTAAATAGCCTGACTTCATAAATTTATGTGCAGAAACAAAATTGACATTGAATAAAAGGTTCCATGCCCTTATTATTTACAAACAGCCTACAGGAGGAATTATGGTATACTCTATATCTGTTTAATCAAAACATGTGGAGTATTTGTAGAAATACTCGAATACCATACAAATACACTATACTCCAATACTATACTCCAGTACTATGCAAATACTATTTGTAGAAATATTCCAAAATTATGTGGAGATTTGTGGAAAAAACAAGTATGCTACCTAAAGCACAGTACTAGACACTGAATCAGCATCAGACAGCATGATCCCCATTTTCTTGAGACTTTGAGACCAATAGACAATACTGGTGCATTCGGACACAGGACTAAAGAGATGAAAATTTCATAGTTTATCACATCCACCTTGTGCGAATCCAAGAATAAGCATAATAGTTGGAGCATAAATCCTGGGAGAATAATGGGAAGCTGTTATTTCAGCACGGTGAGATTGGACACAACATTTTTCATCTTATTTCAGGGGGTAGGGAGGCCTTTCAGAATGACTAGAAGCTTAAAAAGCTAGGCTGGAGTCAGATGATGAATGGCTTTAAATGTTAAACAAAGGAGTTTAAATTTTATTCTAGACCCAGAGATACCAAATAGCCATGGGAGATTTTTGAATGACCATGCATTAGAAATTGCAATTTGGCCACAGAATGGAGGATGAATTAGAGAGAGGAATAGTTTGAGGCAAAGAGACTAATTAGGCGGTTATTACGACAGTTCAGGAAAGACATAATGAGGCTCTAACCTAGTATAGGGGCCATGTTGGAGGAAAGAACAGGATGGATATTAGAGAGGTTACAGATGTAGCATTGACAAGAGATGGCTACTGACTGGACATTGGCAATGAATGATAGTGCAGATTCACGATGACTCAGAAGTTGTGAACCTGGATAACTGGATGGTTGTTAGTACCCTTGAGAGAAATAAAGAAATTTAGCAGACAATGAGGTCTGGAGAAAAGTAATGAGCTTGAGTTAGTTAGGTGACATACAGTTGAAAGTGTCCAGTTCTATGACATTCTCTAGCTAAAATTCAGCCTTTGGCTTTAAAGAAAAGTGATAATCCTTGAGAAAGGGGACTAAGTTATTGAAGAGAAAATTATTTTTCTTTGATTGTTCACAGCAGGCATTTATGGAGTAACCACAGGAAATGTTGTACTTTATTAGGCATTATGAGACTGATATTATTATAATTTGACCCTCAAACAATAATAACTTGGCAGAGAAATAAAATGTACAATTCTGATTTGAGTAAGTACTGAAGGCAAATTTAAGACAAATAAAATTGAAAAGATATAAGCTGTATATTTAAATGCTCAAATAGATCTGTGATCTCATCAATTTGGATGTTGTCTTCAAAGATGAAGATCACATCTTATTCATACCTGCCCATCCTGTGCCACTTTTTTTCATCTCTTTCCATGAGTTTGTCATGAGGGGGTCAACCTATGTGTGGGAAGTGGACTTTCTTCACTTCCCATGGATACCAGTGGAGCACTCAAACAGCAGCCCTGCCATTATTTGTTTTCATCGTGTGATCTATCTCCTTTTCCAAACATACATTTCCCTGAATACATGCTTTAGGGTGTTTCTTTGAAGTTCCAAGTTTGCTATATGCTGCACCTTGCTCATACTCATCCTGTGTCTCTCCACTGCCCTAGTCTATAGTCAATAAACATTAATTAAGCACTTACTGTGTACCAGGCATTGTGCTAAGCGCTTATAAATAAGAAAAAAGAAAAACAACCTCTGCCCTCAAGAAGCTTCCACTCTAGTGGGTAAAGACAATACACAAAAGGAAGCTGAAAAGGGCAGA